TAATATGTCTGAAAGGACAAATGATCAGAAAATGAGTTTATTCAGGAATGGCAGAGGAATGGCAATTTTGGAAATGCAAATTGTAGTAAGCTACAGGCGAGTCCGTTGAAGGTTTGGGGTGCGCTGTTTCTACGGGCATAGAGTGGGGGAGTCCAGTCAAAGTCAAAGCAGTAAGTTCATTGGCTTGAGAATGGCCAGAGAGTCTCTGTGGATGTTCATCTGTAAAACATGAGACCAGAAGAAGCTAGATCAGGAGACTGGAAGATAAAAAGTTATTGGAGATAAGATCTGGTTTTCTGTAAATCAAGTATTTACAGGGAATCAATTTCTCAATTCTTAAGTATTATTTTTCTAAGGCAGATCCATATTCTCCAGTTCCATTTTACATTGAAATCCTCCCAGAGTGAGAAAAAGAGATTTAACTCAGAACCAGACTTCTCATTGAATTATCAGCTCATTGCAATTTTCCTGTATAAATGAGTAAGCTACTGGAGAGAGGAATGGAAATAGTTCCTGTTTAAACTTCAAAAGTACTTTCAGTTCATTTTTCTCATTGTCCAAGGCTTTCTAAAATATCCATAAATACTTTAAACACTTTTGTTATTAGTATTTTGAGGATTGCTATTTCATATTAATTATGGATTATATTTATTCTTATTATTTCTAGGAAAATGCCAGTTATTTTATTTACTACTACAAAGTTAAAATGCAAAAAGTAGTTATGAATCATAGTTGATAGACTTACTTGTATGCAAGAAACATTCCTGTACTTTCTTTAAATTGACTATGTATACTCCAAACCTCTATTCCGCTTGACTGGTAGGAGAGTCAGTCTTAGTTTTTGTTTGGCCTGCTCCTGCCTGTGGTCTTCCAAAATCCTGAGTGCCTATATATCAACAAAACATTGGAAGGGCACTAAGGGGCATTGGGTCAATTGACACATCTGTATGGTCCCCTCAGCTTTGATATACCTCTTCTGGGCAACATCTAGGCCTGGATAAGAGCTAAGTTATAGAGTCTGGTATGAGATCTGATCTCTCAAGACCAGACCTTTTCTCACTAGTACTGTCACATCCAGGGGATGCTGCTGCAACAGGGGAGATGGCTCTGAATAACCTGCTCTCTTCCAGTCTCAGGAAACCTCTCTGTCTCTTCAATCCCAGAAACTTTTCTCTCCCTACAAGGCACCCAGCCTCATCTTTTCAATATATGAATATATAAGAATATTCGTATATTCTCTGAATAGAGAAGTATAATCCAAAATGGAGAGGAGTTCTTAAAAATATATGTAAAACCTTCATTCTTAAGCGACATTAATGGTACCCCATCATCCATATTTCTCTTTTACAAACTAACATATTTAGTCTTTTAACTATTTCCAAAAGGGACATGGTTTTATATTTCCTCACTTTTCCCCATGCCACCTGGTAAAATAGTCCAATAGGTGTTTTTTGTTTTTATTTTTTTTAATATTTTTTCTTTATTGATTTGGGATAGGGAGAGAGAGATGGAAACATCAATGAGAGAGAACATCAACTGGCCACCTCCTGCATGCCCCCCACTAGGGATTAAGCCCACAACATGGGTATGTGCCCTGACCAGGAATCAAACCAGCAACCTCCTGGTGCATGGGTCGACGCTCAGCTAGTGAGCCACACTGGCTGAGCTAATAGGGGTGTTTTAAATATAAGTGTAGGACCCTGAGATGGATGAAATAATCCAGTTCCCAACAAACTTTGCCTGAAAGGTTTGCAATTAAAATTTATTACTGCCAGATAGATGATTGATAGATGGATAGATAGATAGGTAGATAGATAGATAGATAGACATATAGAATTTAACTTTTTAATGGCAAATACAATAATTAGCTATTTAAAAAACAACACAATGGATAAAATATAAACCACATACTCAAACTTTATGCTCCAGCCATCTGATTAGTTCCTGCTCTTAGTCTGGGTTTTATTATTGGCAGCAGAAATATATTTGAGGGTCTTAAACAAGGAAGTGGGGACTGGGGCAGGGTGAAATGATCAGGAGATTTAAGTTCGGAAAAGTTACTCTAGCAGTCATGTAAAAGATGAGACTAGAAGAAGCCAAATCAGGAGGTTGGAAGATAAAAAGTTATTGTATTAATCTAGGACAAAGATAATGGGATCCTGACTTACAAGAATGGCAGAGAGATGAAAAGGAAGACTTGATTAACTGAGCTCCTTTGAAGATGGAAATCAATAGCAAATAGCAACAATAGTGCCTCCCCAATAATTTGATGCTACATGAACAGGTAAACAACCTGAAGTAAGGTGAGGCCTGACAATGACCATGAAAGGAAGATTTAGATGGAGCCCTCGTTTCTTATGACTGTGAAGCTGCCACACTGATCCTAAATTGTCTAGGTTTTAGCTTTAACAATTTTTTAACATTAGAAGGAAATATACTTCTATCTTGCTAAGCAATTGTCATTCTTCTGTTATATGTCCCTAAACCTAATTTTATTATAATATATATTCTTTTATAATGTTATTTTTATTGATGTAAAATTTTCATAGAGTGAATTTGCATAAACATTCATGGTACAATTCAGTGAGTATGCTGGCTATCTATTGCTGGTAACAACCACTCTAAAATGTTGTAGGTTAAATAATTTTTTATCACCTCTCATGATTATTGAGTTGATTATATGCAGTTGCAGGTGAGGTATAGTAGTTCTCATTTAGGATCTCGTCTGGGATTTCAGTTAGATATCAGCTGAAGCTCTCTAGTCATTTGAAGGCTTGACTGGCCCTAATGCACATATAATAATAATAATAGCAATACTACTACTGATAATAATAGCTATATGAAGGGTCTGGATCCTACTGTACATACAACAACAATCATAACAATTCTCTGTTTCAGGTTTTGAACTATACTGAGAATTTGATATAGAATATTCTTATAAAAGATTTAAAATTTTTTAAAAGTTGATAACATTTTTAGATTCTCTATTTTGAGTATTTTTGATGGAGAGAGGGAGTCATTTAAAATTTTATTTTCTTTACTTATCCCACTGAGGGTTTAATTTCAATACCTCTTTGGGAAACATTTCTGAAGACATTCACATATTCTTTCTGGAAACCTGAGATAATTTGGTTACTGTCTAACTATTAGTCAAAAGCAATCCTAACCGATAGACTGCATTAGGGAGTTATATAGTATTCAAATAGTGTTTCACAACCTAGTGTTGGTGAAGCACTACTACTCTCAAGGTAAATACTCCCAAAATAAGCCAGAAATCTAGAGTAAACATGAATAACTTTTAAGGCAGTTTGACATTTTCTTCCCATCCCAACTGGGAAAGTCTCATCAGCAGGGTGTTGTAGAACTTGTATGTTGGACAGATGGTCCAAATATCTACTTTTTCCAGCAGATGTGAAAAAATAAACTCCTGAATATATGAATCCTGTTTGGGAATAGCATATATTATATTAAAATTAGGCCCACTATAAGTGACATCCCTATATATAACTCAGTATAGCTACTGACTTGAAAGGACATTTGCTTTACATTCTAATGCGTATAAGTTATTAGAAGCAGAAATTTGCTATGACCAATAACAATAGATAATGATGTTTTGAGTTTATAATCTATTTTGTGCTGGGTATCTTTCCACTGTCCCTCCAGATCTACTTTCTATTCTTCTTCAGTCTGCCCTGCACCTTCTAGCTTCTAGTTTGGATTAGCTGAGCATTTTTCAACCCTTTTCATCTCATGGCACACATAAACTAATTACAAAAATTCTATGGCACACCAATACATATATTTTTTGCTTATCTGACAACAGAAAATAGGTGTAACTTTGATTCATTCATATTGGATGGCTATTGTGTTGGCTGTTGTGATTTTTTATTGGACAGTCTAAGGGAAAAGAAGTCAGTACCCCTAACTAAACAGTCAAGTATTGCATGTTTTAAAAATTCTTGTGGCACACCACTTGAAAATCTCTGGTTTACTAATGGGGAGCACATGCAGACAATTGGAGTGGAGTCCTGAAAGTGGTAATGGTTGACCCACTTTTTGCCAGCCTCTGAGAACAACACCATCTCAGGTTTTCTTTTCTTTTTTTATTTAAATAACTGCCACGTCATTGGAAAAAGTCTCTTAATCCACTTACTCCTTTTAAGTATGTCATCTGTTTCCTGCCAGAACCTTGACTGATATAAGGAGTGATAAAAATTAGCTATCTTAAAAATGAAAAAATAATTCAATATAATTCTATCTTCCCATTTTGTTACTTCATTTTGCTGTTTAAATATTCCACTAAACACAGATAGTGTGCCCTAGTTTTGGTCTTACACCCATAAAATGTGCTCAGACATGCTTCAGAAGGAAAATAAATCTGTATGTGAGGGCAAGCAGAGAAAGCATAATCTAAATGGTAAAAATGCAGTAGACATAAAAAGAAATTTATAAGTAACCTCAAAAAAACACCAGAAAGCATAGTAATCTAATAATGATCACAAGCACTTAAGTAAAACTTCCTATAAATCAGGCTTTATTCTAAGCAATCTACATCTATTAACTCATTTATTTCTTATAGTAATTCAATAAACGTACTATTCCCTTTGTACAGAGAGGAAACTGAGGCACAGAGCAGTTAAGTAAATCAGTTAGTCAGGTTGTATACTTTTATCTACTGTGCCATGCTGTTCTTTCAACGGTTTTGCTGATAAAACTGGTAAAGTACAATAAAGAATAAATACTACATGAAAAGTTAATTTTATAGTAGTAACAATAGAAGGAACAAAGTTTGTTTTATTCAAAATTGGGTTTGAATTTTAGGTTGACAGTATAAATTTAAATTTAAATATGTCCTTAATATAATTTCATGCTTACACCTGATTTTCCTTCTTGCCACCCTTCTCCCCATAAATAATGAATTTGCATGAAATGTATTTGTTGGTACTGGGAGTACATTTGCATTCTAATATACAATTTAATCTTTCTCTTTAGGTTTATGATCTGTGAAAATGTCTGTTAAGAACTCACCTGTGATTAACAGATTAGGAATAACAGCTCCCTCTTATGAAAAACTCATGAGGTTTAATTTGCAAAATTTAAGAAAAAGAAGGAGTAGTAAATCAAAGTAAGTTAAAAAAAAAATAGTCCATATTATTAAAGTAGTGGATCCATATGTTTTGTAGAATTTAGAAAGTACAGATAATTGTGAGCAATAAATATAACTACAAGCTATTTTGTACATCAATACAAATGCTGTACAGAATAAAAAACTTAAATTTACTATAGTTAAAGAATTAGCTTCATTATTAATAATCATTTCCAAAATTTTGAATTCTATATGTTTGTTTAAAATAAGCAATTTTCTCTATAATCATATATGTATTTTAAGTTGCCACACTAATCTATGGAGTGCATTTAATAATTACTATATTGTAAAGCATTTTAATCATTGCTAAATCTTTTGCTATTTCAAATTAAGCCACATAGAATGTTTTTCTGCATCAAATTTCTGCCTTAGGATAAAATTTCTAAAATGAAGTTACTAGTTCAAAGTTTGTTGGTAATTTAAAGATTGTATGTGATTTTAAGAAAATTTTAAAGATTTAAAAAGAGAATAATAGAATGTATAATAAAACTTACATGTTGACATATTATGTTTGTTTTAAATATTATTCTTTAATGAGGATTAGATCAACAGATCAACTCAAAGCTCTTTGACCACATACCCTCCCAACTAGAAAATTGTGACATATATTATGTCAGTTCAGTTTCCTACTTTAATATATATGAATATAAAATTGTATTTTCCATGTGAATTTCAATGTAATTATACCTTTACATAAATTACATACACAGATAAATTGTAACACATTTATCTGTGACTTGATTTATAAAAATTGATGTTATGTTTTGAATTCTATCCATATTGATAATTATATATTTTGTTCATTCACTTTAGCTGCTGCATAATGTTCTAATATAATAAATTCTCCTTACTTTACTTACTTTATTTTCCAAATTTTGCCATAAAATTAGTGCAATAGTGAAAATTATTGTATACTTCTCTTTGTGTATTTGTATGTTTCTTTGAAGTGGATTTTTTATGCCTTGCTTTTTAAATTTAACTTGATGCTATTGCTCTACAAAGTATCTGAATCAATTTACATTTTCTTTACCAGCAGGTGAAAGTATCACTTCCCCCTTCTTCACCAACACCTGGTATTGTCAGACTTCTTAGTATTTGCTGTAATAGTAGGTCAAAGTGGTACTTGACTGATAACTAATTTTTTGAAATCCCTGAACTAATGAGACTGAGCATCTTAATGTCTATTGCCACTAAAATTACTTCTATGAATTATCTGTTTATGTTTGACCAATTTACTTTTGTTTTATCTTTTTTAATTGATATTTGATATTCTTAAATATTTATTATGACTTATTTCAGTCTGGCTTGTCTTTTAACTTTGTTTTTGTGGTGCCTTTCATCATACAGAAGTCTTAAAAATTAATATAGTCATTGTTTTTAAGATTTATTCAAGGCTTTGAGTGTAAGTATATAATTTTCATTGCTGACTTGTTCATTCTATTGGTCCACTTTATTAACATAAGGCAAATTATTTACGTATTTGTCTATTGTTGGTCATTTGAATTATTACCTGTTTATGGTTACTTATAAAGTGTTTCTGTGAACATTATTGCACAAACATCCTAGCACATATTCTAAAGTACACCCTCAGGAATGAAATTCTTGGATCATAGAATATATATGATTTAGTGAACAGAACTTATTAATTCTAAGACTTTTATAACTAGTCATTTTTGTATTTTGGTTAAGAAATCTGTCTCTACCACGAGATCATGTAGATATTCTTATACATGTTTTCTAAAAATTTTATTGTTTTGTCTTTCATGTATTATATATGGAAATGATTTTTGATAATGGTGTCAAGTAAAAATCTAATTTTCCTTCTTTTCCCAATTGATCAACACCATATACAAAGAGAACATCCTTCTCCACTATTTCTGTAGTAGAATTATAGTATAAATCAAGTGTCTGTGTGTAACAGGTATGTTTCTGGGCTCTCTGGTCTGCTTCACTGGTCCGATTGTTTCTTTCTTTAGACCAATGCTACATTGCCTTAATTACTACCATTTAGCAATAACATTGAATAGTTAATATGGCAAATTTTCCAAATTTCTTCTTTTTTAATGATATTGTTTTCAGAATCAATTTGTCATGTCCCCCCCCCCCCAAGCACTTGAGATTGTTTAATGGATTTTTCTGAATCTATAGATCCATTTGAAGAGAACTGGCATTTTAAGCATAGTAAGGATTCCAACCCATTAACAAGGAATATCTCTCCATTTATATAGTAATTTGCAAAATTTTTTCAATAAAATTTTAACGTATTTTCCTATAGGGGCACTATCTTTTGTTAGATTTATTTTTATGTATTTTCTGTTTTGAATAATAGTGTAAGTTTTATGCATATATTTTTTTAAGTAGTTTTTTTCCCCAGCTGTTGCCAGAAGAGAGAAATACAAGTGATTTTTATATATTGGTTTCACAAACAAAATTTTTGTTAAATCATCTTATTAATTCTAAACATTATTTCAATTTTGATTTAAAAGAAATAGTCTAAACATTTCATAATTAAGTAAAATTGTTTTCCTCTAACTGTATTTGGCATCTTAATTCTATTTTGTGTTGTTTATAAACCCCACTAGATTTCATTACTATTTCAAGTAGTTAGTTTCTTTATATTTCATTTACTATATCACTTTCCTTCTTTCTTCTTAACCCTCTTCTTTTGTCAGATGTACAATTTTAAACATTTTTCTTAGTGAGATTGTGTTGTTGAAAAATCTGATTTTGTTAGTCTACATATATTTTTATTTAATTTTTTTTCTTAAAAAAAGTTTAAAATGAATATGAAATTATCTTCGGTCTGCTATCACTTTTATTCTATTTTTCCTGCAGCACATCAATGATGTCATCCCACTCACAGCTTCCCTTATTGCTGCTGAAAAGTTAGGTGAAATTTTGATGCTATTTTTTTTTTTTAAGATTAATGTGTTTCCCCCAACTTTGGGTGCTTTCCAAGCTTTTTATTGTCTGGCATTTTCTGTGTTTTACTATGATGTGTCAGAATGTAATTAAAAAATTATTCTTCTTGAATTTCTTGGACTTTTTGAATCTGTGGACTGTGTTTTTCATTATTCTTAAAATTTATCAGACATTATTTCTTCAAATAGTACCTGTAAACCCATTTTCTCTTTTCTCTCCTTATAGGACACTTGATTAAATGTGTATTAGGTCATCTCATTTTATATTTTACATATTTTACTCTTTCATCTCCATTTTTCATCTTTTGCCTATTCTTACTCTATTTTGAATAATTTATTCTGATATGATCTGCTTTCCACAGGACTAATTTTCTATCTTGTTACTAAATTTATCCATTGACTCTTAATAAGTGTATCTTACATTTCTAATAATTAATTTATTTTTCTTCAAATCTTGTATTTAGTCTTGTAGTTCCTGGTTTCATGCAGATACTTTTAAGCATCTCGTGGAATAAGTATGATGGTTTTATAATTTGTGTCTGATTATTCCAATGATTGTGATCTTGGTAAATTTGCAATTTTTATTGTTCTCATTTATGTTGTATGTTATTGTCTCTCATTTGTTCCTGGGGGTGGGAAATGTTTGTGTCATCCTCCAGAGGATTTTGCATTTGTTTTCTTCCAGGCACCTGTAAATGCTACTGGTTTGGGACCACAGAAACTAACTTCACTGCCTGAGTGTTCCTGACCATCTATCTTTGCCTGGGGTATAAATCTGTGTTGAGACTGATTTCACACACACACACACACACACACACACACACACACACACTTTTTCTTTTTTCTCTGCTGGGCACCAAGTCTACTTCTCTACAGCTCCCTGGGGTTAGGGACAAAGAATTCCGATAACAATGTGGAGGGTGTCTCCAGTATGTGTCTCACACTTTGAGAATCCTGGCTTTTTCTTTACTGTATAGTCACTTGGAAAATGTGCTTGGTCTTGTCTCCATGGACCCTTGTATCAAGAGAAATCAGATTCTGCCCCTGGCATCAGCTGTTTGAGATGAAGCAGGAATCTAATTTGCATGAAGGATCATCATCTTTGTTTTTCTTCTTAGGTATTGCATGAATTGTCATAGGCCTCATATTACATTTGCTTTACTTATTCTTCCTTAGAAACATGAGTTGTTGCAAGCTTAGAGTTTGTTATTAGAGAAAGATGAAGGGATCCATGTAAATCCTTCAAATGAGGTACTGAAGTTCACACATTTCTGGACCAAAGTGAGAATCACACAATCTTATAATGGATTAATGGGTCACATCACACTATTTTGTCACTACTTTTTAAAAATAACTAAGATTATTTTATTTTGTATAGTCTGTTTTGCTTTTTCTACATTATCTAGAGATGAAAAAGCCCAAAATATTTTGAAGACTTACATCAACTATACATATTTATTTTAGCTGATTGAAAAAAAATTAAAGGAAATCTTAGTCTTACATTAAGAAGATTTAGTCAAGCTATTAAGATTATTTTACATCTTTCTAACAGAGGCTGCTTGTGTATTTTTTATGTCTGGGAGACTGTAGTCTTCAAAGCTTCCTGAAATGTTAATAAGCCTAAAATGTTTCCTTTTCATTAATATTTTTGACACTTTTGTATTTAGTAAAATGTGCTCAACAAATACATGCTCTAAATATTTAAAACATATTATATATGTAATATATATATAATTGCTTTTATATGTACACATTTATAATACAATATAGCTCTGCATGGTTACATGAAAACATTTTTTTAGACTCATTTATATGCTGGTCTTTTGTTTATTTGAATAATAGTATTTGTATGTCATTTGTATAAACCTTTAAAAAAAATCCTAATGGTTAAGACCTTGCAATTAGGTCTGTTAATTTTAGTTTGAGACATCTATACTTGTAGCATTTGGATTGGCTAACAAATGATTTAGCCAAAAAATAAGGTAACTTAGGAGCTTGATGGCCATACAAATCATGGACATATTCAATATATTGCAGTGTAGGTTCCTTTAGGATATG